CCTGCTGTTAATCTGTCTGTCAGTTTAATTCTTAAACCGGTTAGAAGAACCTTGAAAGGTAGAGGAATATTTTTCCTCCCCAACAGGACAATGATAGAAGAAAAAACAGAAAAGGAAAATGAATTACAGCAGTAACTATACAGAAGGGTAGTTGAATTGTAGTCTAAAATATTACCCTACACATTTTTCTTCCGTTAAATTCTTGTTTAATCTAGTAAATCTTCCCTGACTAATTTTATGCCAAGGGTCTAGAGTTTATTACTCAAGGAGAGAGAAAACAAAAATATTAAAAAGTGAAAGAGTAAAATTTGTGGCTTTTTGAACTTTTGAGTGGACAGAGACCATGGTCTTCAAAGCCTTTAAAATGTCAGATCTGGGAGAGCAAAATATTTTGAAATATTCAAAAGCTTGGCTTGGAAAATGGAAAGACACAGGTTGAAATAAAAGTGCACAAGATATATTCAAGAACAATTAGAATGAAGGTGTATAATAATGTTGAATTAGTTCTCACCTGAAGTACTAAAAAGTTTGAAGGGCTGATAAAAGAAGTACATGGTGGATTGGAACAAAGGCCAACATCATCTTCCTTTAGGCGATGAGTTGCCTCTTGATGGATGGGGCAGGGTGGGGTGGTTGGTAACAGAAATTCAAGAGAGGTCGAGAATTATCAGAGCAGATAAGATTATTTTTAAACTGTCCAGAATACAGCCCATAAATTTGCAAGCCTTAAAAAGGAGTTACATGTCTCAGAGGCACCAAGTTGTAGAGTAGCCGCGACCGAGGGAGGTGTTTGGGAGATGAACTGAGGACAGGCTCTCTGATTGACACACATTCAATCAGAGGACCTCTGAGGCCCTACAGCCACATCCCAGGGCTCAGAGGGGTCTGAGGGTGAGCCAAGGACCCAACAGAACCCAAATCTGGATGAAATAGTCACCAAGAGTATCAGAAACTGCTGGCTGCCTACCAAAAATCTTATTTCTATGCTAACAGGTGACTTCCCAGCTGACAGCTGCATTTCCCAGGTTCCTTAACATATAATATAGGTATGGCAATATGTCCAGTTATTGTCAATGGAATGTGAGCAGAAGTGATTTAAAAGCAAGAGTGGTTCCCCCACACTCTATCCCCTTCTTCTGGCTGGAAGAAAAGCCTCCAAGGCCCTAGGTTCATGGCTCCTGCATACAGTTTGACAACCACCAGGAAGGAATTCACAAGGGGCACCTAGGATATATTCAACATGCACAGAAAATAGTACTATCAGCACACCATAGTGAACCGAAGAAGGTATTTAGGATACTACACAATTTTTAGGAAAACTTAGTAACATCCAGGACACTAGGCAATTACTATTACATTGTTTGGCCCTAACTACTTAATCAACAGAACTGTTAGATATTTCTTTCCATCTACAGACCCAAGAATATATAACTGGGACTGTAAGGGCACTACCAACCAAGAGATTTGGGGAACCTCTGCCTCAGGGAATGATGGAACCACAAGATGAAAGGAAGCTGGGCTCCTAAATTTTCACTTGAAGGAAAGCCACCCAACCAATTAAGGACTCCCACACTGAACTGGTATATGAGCCATAAAGTTCGGTTGCATTAACTCTTTGAATGTTTGGAGTTTATTTGTCAAGTAGCCAGCATTACCCTAATTAATACACAAAGTATATAAGAATCTAGATCCAAGACCAAAAGCCACAGATAAAGGACCAGAGAGAGAAACTAATCTCAGTAGAGGCCGCGCAAGCCAACAGGATGACTGTCAGAGTAGATGATGCCCCGTATCCAATATCAGGTCAGTACCTAAGCCCCCTGAGACTAAGACCAACCTCAACGAAAGGGGGACAGATACCCAGCAGGTGAGGGTGCTAAGGATTTAGCCCAAATGACACTAACCTTAAATCTGGCTTTGTAAAATTTCTACCATCAGTGGATAAGTGAGTGCTAAGTTAATTATACCTTTTGGCAAAGGAACATTTTTACACTCCATTCATTTCATTCAGGAACTGCACAGTTTTGAAACCACCACATATATGTCACAGCAAGGATAAAGACAGAGGCCCCTGTATCTGTTTCTACAACTGAGTATTTAACTCTAGATTTGGGCCTGCATCCCAGCTGGCTGGAGTTCCTTGCCCACTGAGATGGGGGCCGGGGCCCCTGACAGGGCTGCCTAGGAGAGGTGACAGCACTTTCTCAATCCAGGCAGCAGGCACTCCCTGTGCTCCGCAGCCTGCTAATCCACTGGAGAGGCAGGCTCCTCACTCTAACCCACACTATCATCTAATTCTTGCCCATTTTTTTTTCAGATAAGCCCAATAAGGAGCAGGCAGCTATTTCAAATTCCAATTCAATGAAACTATTATTGTGGGTCTTCGTGGAAACATAGCTTCTCCCTTGCTCCCTGAAAAGTCTGAACCAGGAAAGTCTGGATTCATAAAAGACTAGTACGAGGAATAGGGTAATGGGGGTAAGTGCCCCAAACCACCACATGTCTACTCCAGAAGCAATAAAAGCATTTCAGTCAACATCTTCTTTGGTCCCCCACCCCTCAAGTTTAAAAATAGGGTTTTACTGCTCATTTCCCTCCCAGATACATAACCCTGTACAATTTTAAAAAGGCAAGAGTTACCATCATTGAATTTAGTGATTCTCAACTCAGGGCAATCTTTCCCCTTAGGAAATATCTGAAGATATTTTTGATAATCACACTTGGGTGGCTGGTTGGGGTGGTGGGGGATGATACCCAGCATCTAAGATAAAAGGCCAGGAGATGCATAGGACAACACCCTACGGCAAAGATTTATATGGTCCCGAATGTTCCAGTGCTGAGGTTACAGAACCCTGAGCCAAAGACTGTGTTTCTATGTAGAATTTGTTTCCCCCACTAGCAGGCCAACTCTGTGAGGGCAGGGACCTTGTCCATCCCGTTTCTGCTCTATGCCTGGAACATGGAAGTCAACAAACATTTGGTGACTAAATAAGAGGTGAATGAGTGCCTGGGAGTTCACACTAGGCATTCCTACATACATGATGGTGTCCCAATGCTTGGCTGCCTGGACTGAAAGCGTTAGTAAGGTGAAGCAGGGTGGTAGAGCATAGCATGACCGAAATATTTGGGGGATACCCTTCCTTGAATGTCCTAATGTAGTTCTCTTCCCCACATGGCACAATCAAAATGCTCATCATTTTCCTTCACTTTAATTTTTTAACTTGAAGACACATATGTAGTTTTTACAACGTCCTCAATTCCTCTGTTCATTAAAAGGTATCATCCAGGCGCTAGGATAGGTACTGTCACCAAATGAAATTATGACATAGGATTATGTTTGACAGTTTGCAGAGATCTGATGTAATTGTTCTGTCTTCCTTGACAATTACAAATGTATTTCCCTTCTAGGAAAAGTGCCTCTTGCCTTGTCTTCCCATCTCCCCTTGACACCTCCGTTAAGCTTTGAAGAAAGACCAAGAAAGAGTGGGGTGCCTGCGCCCCCAGCTGTGTGGTGGCTTGTCCCTGTCCGGGGCTCCCTTACCGTACCGTCATAAGCATGGCTCCACTACACAATCATGACAACTTCTAAGTACCTGTTTCTGTGGCTTTGTCCCTTGTCGCCTGTGGTAGGGCTGGTCTTCACTGTCTTTACATCACTGGTACCTGGCACACAAGAGGGGTTCAGTAAATGCTTAATGAGCGAATAAAATGCGCTTGCCTACTTCACCTAGGGCACCCTTCGCCAACTTCACAATGTCCCCCGAGGCACAGTTTTGCCTACTTCACAACGGCGACTGACCCTGCACAGAAACGGGGACTGCCCAGGCGCTCAGGGGTGTATCTAGTTTCAGTCGCGTCTGAATCAGCCTCCCGCGGTGGCTCCAGCCAATGAAGAGAAAAGCGAAGGTCAGACGTCTCGGGCGATTCAAGTCTAACAGCCCGGGATGGCGGGGCGCCGGTTACTGAGGGTGAAGGCCGCCGCCAAGGCCTCTCCGGAGGGGCGCAGCGGCTGGGCGGCGTGAGGCAGGGCGTCCAGCGCACCGGCGCCCAGGGCGCCTCCTCCCCGGGGCCGTCCCTGGAGGCAGCTGGGGACCTTCCCGGCCCGGCCCGCGCGGCGCCGGAGGGCCAGGCAGGACCCGCCCAGCCCGCGGCCACGTGAGGCTCCCTCGCCCCTAAAAGCTGCGAGCCGGCCGGGCTCAGGAGAGCGGGAAGTTCGGGACTCCCCAGCCCGAGACGCGGCGCCCCGCTGCCGGCCCGGAGCTGCCCCCTCGGCCGCTGCCCCCGCCGGCGCGCCGCCCCGTCCAGCCGGGGAGGTCGCGGCCGCGCAGCCATGTCTCTCCGCCGGGCCGGACGCCCCGGGCCGCCCGCGTCGCTCCTGCCGCCGCTCCTGCTGCTTCTGGCCGCCGCCGCGCCGCCGAGCCGCGCAGGTGAGCCGTGCGCCCCGCCGCAGGTCCCCGGGGCCGCGCGCCGCCGCTCCCGCCCAGCGCGCTCGCCGCCGTCCGGCGCGCGGGGCGCTTCTGTAACTTAGAAAGTGTTGGCCGGAGTTCCCAGCCGACTCCGTTCGCTCCTGCACCGCCCTTGGCTGGCTGAGCCTCGGCTGGTCCTCGAAGCGCCTGCCAAAGGGCATCTAAATATATTCATTCTCATCATAGGGAGGAAGGACTCCAGGCTGCCGCTTCTTTTTTCTTAATTGATAATGACTTTGGTTTCGAATGATCAATGCAGCCAGGTTACTGTCCATTTTATGCCCGCTCGGCGGTGCGCTACGGGCTTTAGGTTTCTTCATACAGTGCCCACAATAATCCGAAATACGATTATTATCCCCATTCTACAGGTGAGCGAATTTGAAATTGAGAGATATTCGGTAATTTGCATAAAGATAATTTTGCAAATGAGGGCAGGGAGAAAAATTTGCAAGTAAAGGCAGAGCTGAAATGCCAAAGGGCATTTACCTAACTACCCCCCTCTCCGTAAGCAGGTTTTATGCCTATGAGAATTGATACTTATCTGCACCCCTCTGCCTCAAAAAAAAAAAAAAAGCTTTGGGTTTGTCACTTTCATTCCCAATGAGTAAGAGCAAGATTAACTATGAAACTAAAAAATTTTCAAAAGTCGTAGTAAGAAGGATTAGGTTTATTTCGTAATACATTTTCTGTGATGATCTTGTGTAAGAAGAGGGTGGGGTCCAGGACAGCTTACCCCTTTCCAAGGAGGGACCAGATGCCAGGGTCTTAGCCTTCTCAGCTTGCCCACTGGCCACCCTGAAATACTTACAGTCTTTTAACCTGCCTGGGCTTCTAGGGTCAGAAGTAAATCAAGTCAGTACTTGATTTACTCCTAACTCCTGATTTACCTGCACATTCAGTTCCTTGCCTGGACTGTGGTGCTTAGTGCCACCTTTTAGCCCAAGGAGACTGTTCACTCAGACACACCTGGGGCCGGCTAGCGAGTGCTCCTGAAGGTGTTGGGAATGTTGGCCGAAACCTTTCTTGCTTATCTGGGCTTGTTCTCTCCTCTCCTCCCCTCCCCTCCGTTCTGGATTGTTGGGATTGTTTTAAATATGTCTGTGGATAGAGTGGGCAACCTGATTAGGAGGTGGAGGCATTGCTTTTCTGAAGATAGAGCACTGTTTATCCAAGAAGATACCGCCTGGCAAGAAACTGCTGCTTAAACTGAGTTCCCCTAGTAGTACGCCGCCAGCTGGGTGGGGGAGTCAAGGCGAGACTGAAGGCATTTTTGCTGGGAGTGGTCTTGACAGTACGATGCCCAGCCATCTAGAAAAGACTTACGGCAATGAAGAATGGCTGACTATGTCCAACACATACGATCTCTATCCCCTTAGTTCCGTCCCTTCTAACCTGTTTTCCAGCGTGGCTTTTTGGCTCTTTGTTTTACCCTTCTACGAAACTGCCAACAACCTGTGGGCAGAGAACATGGCCTTTGCTACCTCTCACTTTTCATGTTTTCTCTGAAGTGCCCAGCTCAGGACTCTTGAGCAAGTTCCCAATAAACACAACACTGGGCAATGCTCGCCAGTATTTAGCAAGTACCCAATGAATACTAAAAGGATTCCATTTTCATTCTCCTAGAGTGAAGTTTTATGTGCCCACTTGCACCTATTAATCCAAAAACAATTTAATTTTTAAAGGTTACTTTGTAGCTTCGTTTTTCCAGGAATTGGCAAACAAGTACACACACATCCTAGCCATAGCTTTCAAACTATGGACTTCAGACATATAACAGTGTTGCTATATTTTTCCAGACTGAAAAACCCTCTATTTTTAGGAAGTCTCGTGAAAGTTTCCTAAGCCGTGTGTATAGTGAAGACACATCATTAGGGAAGGAGATGAGTTGGCTGCCAAGAGACTTACCAGGTGGTATGTGCCTTGGTAAAACTGGTTCCAAATCTGGCCCTCATATTTGCAGGGCTAGATTCCAGAAATTTGTTCTTTCCAGTGTTCGAGAGTTGATCAGATACAATGAAGCTGATTCACCCCATATACACACAAGTCTATTCACCAAAATACTAATTATTAATTTTTAGCAACTAGATATTCAAGTTGCCTGCTCTAGGCACATTCTTGAAATCAAATTCCAGGAGATAGATAATATCAGGCATTTTCAGGCTGGAAGCCTGTCTCATCTGTTTCCCAGGTAGGGCTGGACACGTCAGCCAGCCTGTGGGTCCCCTCCACTGGACAGTGCTTGCCAGGCATGTCTGGCCCCGGCTCTGAAACACTGCCTTTTCCGTGCCACCTGAGACTGACGGACTGGCTCTATAAACAGGCTAAGACCTTTATGGGGTTGTCGAGGTGCTTACTTTCCTGGCCCCTTAAGGTAACTTGGCAAACCTTCAGCTGAGGCCCATCTTAGTTGATACTTTAACTCTGAGAGCATTCTCATTTCCAAACACGCTGGAGTGGCTGCTCTACATGCTCATTCTTTCTGTTCCATCCTACAATTTCTGAAAGTATTAGTATTAGGTAGTATATTTCCAAAATAAAAACCACGGAGCCAGATTGCCTGTGTTGGAATTGTGGCCAAATACTTAACTGTGTGACCTTTAGTCAGTTGTCTCTCTATGCCTCAGTCACCTCCCCTGTAAAGTAAGTATTAAAATGATGTCTGTCTCATAAGGTGGCTGTGAGGCACAGTGACTGGCATACAGTAGGGGCTGTAATTGAGTGGCCATTATTATCGGCTACTGGAGTTGCTTTTCTCTGGAAAGCCATCATAGATGTCTTGATAAGGCAACCAGGATGGCAGATGATCATCTCTGTGCCATGAAGTAATAACTTGTTATAAATTTTTCCTCAATCATGGCCCAACATTTCAGAGATTTACGGTGCACATGAGCACGTTAAAGCAGGTGTTTCAGAACAGTGTCCTAGGTCACTTTCCAGAAGTGATTCACATTTCCAGAAGGACCAGAAAATGAGGCCCATCTTAGTTGATACTTTAACTCTGAGAGCATTGTCCTAGGTCATTTTCCTGGGTTATAACTGATTGACTGAAATTACCTTGATTGTTTTTTTCCTAAATGGAATTTTATTAACCATGCCTGCTTTAGAATTTCCCAACTCTTTTCCATCTTTTTGAGCCTCACTAAGCCTTCCTACAGCTGATTCACATTGTCTTGGTGTTTCAGACCCAAAAGAATTCAGTGCACTCTCTGTATTAGTTTGCTTATAAAAATGTATACAAAATAAGTTCCAGAATAATTTTAGGAGAACACCCATTCATCTTTATTATTAAACTTCATTTCCTGGTCCTTCTGGAAATGTGAATCTGATAACAAAGATCAAAATCTTTCTCCAGAAGAAAATTAAAACAGATCCGCCTTCAGTCTTTCAATTGAAGTAGAACATTTGTTAAAACTTTTTCATAATGATTTACTTGTCATAATATGTAAGCAATGAATCATATGACCTCCACCTTGGAACTTTGCTCTGACATGCAGAACAGAAATTGTTTTCACACTACTTTAGGCTTTATCTTTACTTTTGTCACCTATTATCTTTTGGTGTGTTGGATTCTAAATTATAAAGCATTAGCTATTGCGAAGACAAAGGACTTAGCACCAAGAATGGAATGAATCTTAGAGGATTTTCAATATTTTAAGTTTTTTAAATGCATCTAAACTTCGTCTTTATTTTTTTTTTAGTGGAGTAGGTTCCAGTTGCTCCTACAACTTATATTGCAGTCTTTTGAAAATTTAGCTCTAACATGTAGCCAGGAAATTTATTAGTAATGTTATTATGTAGTTTCTTTGTACTACTGCAAAACAGGAATTTACTCAATGTGGTAAAAAATGAAACTAATAGAGGTAGTGAAATTATGAGGGAACTTTAGTCTGAAACTTGAAACTCTGTCTGTATAAATAATAGATATCATGTTATAATCTTCCAATGGGAAATTGTGAAAATCTCTTGATTGAAAGAGACAGGCTTGCTCTAAAATTTATCAGTTGGCCTTGCAAATGCAATTCTAGCCCAACATAACATAGTGCTGAGGTACTCAAACCAACCTTTGCAAATCTAAGATACCAAAATTCTAATTCACAATTAGGAATCAAGAATTAATACACTATAGACTTAATACAAATCTGTCTTCAAGTGTAACCTTCCCAGCTGGTGTGAAAGTTTGGGAGCCACATAATCAATTAAGCATTGTGGTAAGCCCAAGGAGTCCATACAATGAAATATGAGATGCCATCCCTGATTCTCCAGGAGCTTGTAGTTAAATCAGTAGACCAAACACAGAGTGGGCTAGATGAGGAGTGAGCTGAGAGTGCTAAGTCAGCACATGGCAAAGTTGACTTTCTGTTGCTAGGACTTTTGGCAACTCTGAAGAATAGGTACATTTCTTGGGAATGAAGAAAGGGATCATTCCAGATTCAAGAAACTCTGCAGCAGTTCTCTGCATTCGTGTTTCATTGCTTTGAAGCTGTTTTGTTTTTTTTTAAGTGATATCCCTTGCTACTTACCTGGTGTACCAGG